GGGTAACAAAGGGGGTTTTTTTTCCCACAAGTTAGGTAAGTACTTTTGTTTCTTGTTTTTTTTTATTGGTTTTTAGTTTTTTTAGTCCCATCCTTCAACTCCTTTCAACAACACCCATCTATCTCTTAACACCATCCATATTGGATTTCTATTCGCCATATATTTTTCAACTGTACTGTGATGTTTTACAAAAGTTCTGAACCCTTCTATTCTCATTGTTTCTACAGATTGTATATTGAAAATATTTTTTTTTGCTAAAAGTATTATTATATTATTGATCGATTGACTATGAATTTTCAGATCACCCAGTAGTGCTATCTGCAGGTTTATCTCCAGGTAAATATTGCAATCGTTCAGCCATTCCTGGACCTGTCCAATAACAGGCTACAAATGGACAGTACCTAAACAAATGATGTAATGATTCTGTGTCTTCACAGCAAAATCTGCAGAGCTGGGAAGATTGTATCCCCCATATAAATAACATTCTGTTGGTAGCAAGAATTTTGTATAATAATTTAAATTGAAAAATTCTAAGTTTTGAATCCGGCGTCGTTTTGCGTATCAGTTCATAAACACTATGCCATGGAATCGGTACATCAAAAATCTCTTCCCAACTATTTTGCAGTCTATATGGGACGGCTGTCAATCCTTTGGTCCTTAAATGAAACTGGTATACTTTTTTATTTATCCCAGTTTTCCTTAACCAATGATGTTCTTTAATGCAGGGCCGACAGACAAGTTCCTTACTCTTTCCCCCTTCCACTTTCCTCTTCCATTTTTACGGTAATGATGCAATTATTTGGTTGTAATTTTGGGTAGAGCAGACATTTCCATATGTTTTTGTTAGCTGCATGTGCGACATAACTCCACCAGTCCTACCTATGATATCATTTATGAAGATTATACCTTTAAAAAAAACATTTTTTTTTTTAATTTTTTTTTTTTATTATTAATATATTTGAGTTTAACCACAATATTTGTTGCATTATTTGTTCTGTAGTTTCTGGAGGATTAAATTGAAATTGCAACCAACTTTCTATGGCTTGTTTTAGAAATAGTGATATTTGGGAGATTATTTCCTTTTCAAATAACTGAAAGTGAGAGGTTGCAATCTGAATAAAGGGAAAAAGGCCATTCTTGAACATGGGCTGAGACAATCTTACTAATTTGCTAGAGAACCAGTTCGGATTTAAGTATATATTTTTTTATGACTGAAGCTTTTAGTGATAAGTCTAATGCTTTAATATTTAATAATTTCTGTCCTCCGAATTCATATTCATTATACAAATGGGCCCTTTTTTAATTTTGTCTGGCTTGCCGTTCCAAATAAAATGGAATAATTTTTTCTCATATAATTCAAATAACTGATCGCTAGGCGTAGGTAAGACCATAAGCAAATAGATAAACTGGGATAATACTAAAGAGTTAATCAGGGTGATTCTTCCACAAATTGACAGGTAGGAATTGACTGTTCCTGTAGACTTTCAGTCATTGCACTAATGCTACTTGGCAATTGTGCTAACGCTATTCGGCAACTTCCTTCAAACTGAACACAGAGACATAAAACATTTATTTAAGAGTTCATCTAACTCTGGGGAAGTAAATATCCCTTAAAGGAAAGGTTCAACCATTTTGAATATTTTTGTTTTTGTGCATCTCTGAGTGATGTTCTATCGATTCCCTTGGTCATTTCATGTTTTCATGTGTATTTGAGTTATTGGCGTTCAAGCAGGCAGAAATCCATCCGGTATGACGTAGCACTGTGATAAAGTCGCTCTCACTACACTGTAAGTTAATAAGGATACATTTACATTTACGTCATTTAGCAGACGCTCTTATCCAGAGCGACTTACAAATTGGTGCATTCACCTTATAGCCAGTGGGATAACCACTTTACAATTATTATTATTATTATTATTATTATTATTATTATTATTATTATTATTATTATTATTATTTATTTATATTAGATTAGGACCTGTGCCGCTTCCTGTGTAAGGCAGGGTCGTACTCTCCGAATGTTGTAGAGCATGAACCTACAGGATCGGGTCACCGCCTTGATGTTAGCGGAGAACGACAGGGTGTTGTCCAGGGTCACGCCAAGGCTCTTCGCACTCTGGGAGGAGGACACAACGGAGTTGTCAACCGTGATGGCGAGATCATGGAATGGGCAGTCCTTCCCCGGGAGGAAGAGCAGCTCCGTCTTGCCAAGGTTCAGCTTGAGGTGGTGATCCGTCATCCATACTGATATGTCTGCCAGACATGCAGAGATGCGATTCGCCACCTGGTTATCAGAGGGGGGAAAGGAGAAGATTAGTTGTGTGTCGTCTGCGTAGCAATGTTAGGAGAGGCCATGTGAGGATATGACAGAGCCAAGTGACTTGGTGTATAGCGAGAATAGGAGAGGGCTTAGAACTGAGCCCTGGGGGACACCAGTGGTGAGAGCACGTGGTGCGGAGACAGCTTCTCGCCACGCCACTTGGTAGGAGCGACCGGTCAGGTAGGACGCAATCCAAGAGTGAGCCTCGCCGGAGATGCCCAGCTCGGAGAGGGTGGAGAGGAGGATCTGATGGTTCACAGTATCAAAGGCAGCAGACAGGTCTAGAAGGACAAGAACAGAGGAGAGAGAGTTAGCTTTAGCAGTGCGGAGAGCCTCCGTGACACAGAGAAGAGCAGTCTCAGTTGAATGACCAGTCTTGAAACCTGACTGGTTTGGATCAAGAAGGTCATTCTGAGAGAGATGGCAAGAGAGTTGGCTATAGACGGAACCCTCAATAGTTTTGGAGAGAAAAGAAAGAAGGGATACTGGTCTGTAGTTGTTGACATCAGAGGGATCGAGTGTTGTTTTTTTGAGAAGGGGTGCAACTCTCGCTCTCTTGAAGACGGAAGGGACATAGCCAGTGGTCAGGGATGAGTTTATCAGTGAGGTGAGGTAAGGGAGAAGGTCACCGGAGATGGTCTGGAGAAGAGAGGAGGGGATAGGGTCAAGCGGGCAGGTTGTTGGGCGGCCGGCCGTCACAAGTCGATACTTCTTTAAGATCGCGAAAACGTCTATCATACATGTCAAATTTCAATACTGGCAGATGTCATAACTCGGGAGGATGTCTTCTCTCGAATGAGCCATTGATCATATTTTAGTGATATTCCTACCTCGAGAAATGTGTAATTTAACGGAGGGTCTAGCACATTTTTCCTATCAGTCTGCCTCTTTAGTCCAGGGTGCATTGCATGGTGCTGTTGCCAGAGATATTATAGAAAGGAGATAGAAATCCAATGAATGATGGAACGTATAACGCCCCACCCAGCCGACTGTCAACCAATCGCGTTCACATTGTCTTGCTGCGTCATGCGGTTGCTAAGCTAATCGTCACTTAACCCCTCCTCTAAGTCAGTGTATACTGTATGTCGAGAAATGTGCCTATTCTCCTCAAAAGTACGTAATGTCACGATTCCAAAGCTACACGATATTACAGATAGCGAGGTCATTAAAGATTTGTAATGTTGTACTTCCTGTTGACGAAATACTTGCTAATGTTGGGTTTATAACATAGCTCCCAATAGACTCCCATTCACTCCATGAAGGAGGGCGCTCCTTGTCCCATAATCACCCAGAATGCACCGCGCAGCCCATTGACATTATATGGACAACGTTTCCCATTTCCTCACAAGTATATCTGCCGTTGCAAGTGTTAGACTTGATATGTTTTGTAATACATTTGTTGTAATTGTTTGTTCATGTAACAATTAACTGACATTATTCATCTCAGTGTTGTCGTCATAGATACATGTGGTGGTGATACAGAATGATTTGGATGGGTTGGAATGGAATGACTTGGAGAAGGCATAAGAAGGCAAGAGCTTCTTTTATAAAATACATTGTAGTCAATTTGGTTTGTATATTCCAAATACCAAAGTCTGTGGTTGTTCCATGTTATTTAATGATAGAAAGTAAGTATTCTAAATTGTACATTTTGGGTACATCATGGATCATTCTGTATGTTGTTTAACATTACCCTCTAGTGGCTCAATTAGGACACAACGTCTTCAACAAGTGCAGTGAAGTTGAAATGTACAATAATGCATGATATCAGATAACTTCCAGATCTAACTCAATGGTGTATTGTAGTAGTTCATGGTAAAATGTAAGAATATGCAATTATGGATAAAACTTT